CTTTTATAAAATGATTTACAAGGATTTTCTTTTTTAAAAAAATTTTCGCACGCGATGGCTGAAAATACATATTTGCCTCTATTTTATGAATGTTATGACAGAGAACTATCAAACTGCTATCACGTGTTCGGTATCTTATAAAGACTTTACGTTATAAATAGTACGCAAATCTGCTTAACCGTATTCATTTAAATTAAAAAGGTCCTATTTAGAACACGGTCCGATTTAGACCACTCTCCCCTACTATTAGCGACCAAAATTTAAAAATCCTTCGTCTTTATATTATAAAATAAAAACTGAAACTGAATCCGAAAAGAATTTCAATATTTAATTCGTGAATATTGTGAAAATTACTAAATTCTGCGTATATTATTTTCAAGTTGATGGCAAATTATTTTTATTCGAAGATAGATCCTTTTCGTTGTCTCTACTAGTGACTTTAAAGAAGTTCAATAAAGAAACACTTTTTGTTGTTTTTGTAACTTTTTGGGGTTCAGTTGATCGTGACCTATTGAATCTTCGACTAGGTGTCGATTGAGTCTTCGGACTACTTGAGACTGACGCCGTCTTCTTTTGTTCGTATCTCTCCTTCCTAATTTTCGTTAACCAATCGACATTCTCCTTGTACTTTTGTGGTGATATTTCAAGCAAATGCGGCGCCGTTCCATCCATTACGAAATTTGGCAAGTTTAATGTAGGCGAAAAAATAGCTTCATTCTTGCTCGTGGACTGGCTCGTACTAGGTTCGTCCAAATTGTTATCTCTACTCGTACTAGGGCTCTCGTTACTTGAACTAAACAGCCTTCGCATACCACGATTATCCATGTGAACTCGTTTCACAACCATCTCGTGGGTTTCATGAATAGGCGATAAAATACATTTAAACTTTCCCTCAGATCTTGATCCCATCATCATTTGCAGATAACTACGTTTGGTAGAATTGTGTTTATTTCTATTGTAATCTTCCTTACTAGATTCGGGAGTCGTAACTGTAAAGAATGAAAATATTTCTTTAAAAATTTATCAAATTTTGAAAAGCTCAAAGAAAAATCTTTTTTAAATTATTCAAAATTTAAGATCACTTGGCCATTCATAGTCTCAGTTTTCTAAACTTTAAGACTTATTAAATTTATATCTTCCATTTATTTGCATATAAATCATACACCTCCATATAATAACTTTTATGTTTACCTGGAGTAAGAGTAGATGCCTTGTGTTCATCTGAACTTGGTGTAGTTTCCTGACAAGTATTTGAGTGTCGAGAACTTGGAGTAGTTTCCAGTTTCATTTTTTCTAAAAAGTATCTTTCCACAACTTCAGCTTGACCACGTATTATTACTTCTTTGTTATCTTCTTCATGTTCCAGTCCAATTCTCCATATTTTATGACAAGCATCGTCGGAGCAAGTCACTATCTGAAATGATTCTCAGGATTAGATAAGTATCAAACTATTAAATCTAGATTATAATCATTTATACTTTTAGAATTGTATCACGCAGTGAGTCTAAGATAGCTATAAATATGCAATCAATACTTTCTAAAAATATTTTTACGATATATAATAAAATAAACTTTTAATTAGTATTTATAATAATAAACATTAAAATGGAACCTTAGTTTCTCCAGTACTGCACCATGCAATGCAAGTGACTTCATCTGTGTGACCGGAAAGTTTAACTAGTGGTGCGCCCGGTCTGCTAGTGTTCCAAATGTACGCGAGTTCATCGCTGGATCCACTGGCTAGATAGCGGCCGTCGGAACTCAAACAAGTCTTTACATAGTATGTATGATTTTGATGTCCATGATATTCTGCCACTGTCATAAAGAATTTTTTTCGTGATTCTATTTCGTTAGAATTAGAATAGAATGTATTCATATATTTTATAATTCAAAGAGGAGGAACATTTACCCGGTTTACGATTATACGACGATATATTATAAGCATATATAACGTTGTCCATGCAACTTGCATATAATGTAATTCTAGCCGGACATATTAACAACGAGGAGAAGCCATTCCTAGTACTATTCCCTGAATAATTCATTAAATGCTTAGCTATTGGCTCTTTCTTGTGGACAGTGTAATTCTTGCGCAAGTCCCACACTTTTAACAGACTGAAACCAAGAAGATATTATACTCCTATACAAATACGCAGTAGGAAGCAATCTTACCCATCGCCTGCAGCGCAAGAGATTAGTGTAAAATCATCTTGAAACACTAAGCCGGTAATACTATGCGCTCGTGATGGTTGAGTGTGCGACTTCTTTTTTGTATTGCTGAAGCCACCATAACTGTGCGCATTAGCAATGCAATTATCTGGCTTAGGATGATCATTGTGATTGGCTCTAACGTCCCATATTATGATGAAACCATCTCTAGCACCCGTTGCAAAGACAGCTAAAAATATTTGAAAAATTCTGAGATATCTGAGATATAAATGCACATTACACCATTAAATTTTTCATGCAGATTTATAAATGAACATAAAGAATTAGATTGTGAAAGAAATACAAAAAGTGTTGATGTATTTTTGTCCTTCATATGAAAGATAAAAAGAAAATCTGGCTTTTTTCAAAACAGCAATTTTTTTCAAGAAATATAAATGTTTGTAACTCATTAATGAACAGACCAAGTACCTCTGTCATCATCGCGAAATACTGCTGTTTTTACACTTCTTGAATGTGCATCAAAGTTATTAATTTGTTTTATTTCAGGCCTTGTGACATCCCATAAACGTGCTGTGTGATCTCCTGATACTGTAACCAGTTTCATCTCCCCAGGCATCCAAGCAATATCGAAGATTGCATTACAGTGTGCCTTGAAAAATATACATATTTCCCATTAATATTCCTGTGCTTATACTAAGAAACACATTTATTAAATAGGAATTGAAATCAATGACAACCTGTGTTCCTTCTAATGGTAGATTATTTTCATTCTTAATTTTGGTATCTTGAAAAGCGACTTTTCCATCTTCGTTTGCCAAGGCAAGAATCTCTTCGTATCCTGGCGTGGTGCAGAAACGGCATGCAAACACCGGTGGCTCAGGATTGTAATCAGCTGCATTTACATTCGGAGTTATTCCACGATATACATCATCGTAGTAGCATTTCAGGCGATGAAGGGCGATGTCGTAATCACATATTATTCCTGAATAAGACATCAAGCAATTAGTGTACCATTAAAATTTAATAGACACATAATTTAATCATTTATTTAAATTATATATTTTTTAATTTTTTACTAATTTTAATTAATTTTATTGGATTATTGCAGTAATGATAATAATAAACTATTTTAATAATACTTTAATTTTCTACAAATACAAAATGTATCATTCTAACTATTTAGAATATCATCAAAATTTATGGATAGAAATAATATTGATAGCAAATTATGTTCTTAGCAATCTTCTCTCATTATAATATATGCCATTATAGTTCCATTTTGTAATTACAAAGCATCATTCAAATTCGTCATTAAGTCATCGATTACACAACATTTAAATTACAATCCAAATCAATTTAAAAAGCTCAATCTAACTGGTTATTACAACATAGATAACCTGCACCCACAACAAATACAAAATAAACCCATTTAAATCTCTTTGTAAGACGTATACGCTTCTGTTTATTTACCGAATCCTCTCTCCCGTCGTTGAATAACATTTGTTATATTCATTTTGCACTGACATCAATAAACTTCCAAGAATAACGCTTCTAACTATTTATATATATATATATATATATATATGCACACAGAATTGTTTATACACGCGCGGTACTATACGCGGGAAATCTGTCAGATTCCACGCGAATGGGCTTGCTTTCATGTAGCGGCTGCACGCGGTTGTTAAAAAAAAAACCGATGACGTCATATACCCGACATATAGAAAAATAATTAATGAGTTTGCGATAAGACTCGAACTTCGGAGTTGTAAAATGCAAATAAATGTAAAGATGTCTTTACATGGCACCTTGTCGCCATATAGGATCTGGGCCCCTATTCTTGAAAAGTATCGCATACGTAAAACTAGGGAAATGCCATAGTATATGTGACGCATACTGTAGTATTTCCCTAGTTTTTCGTATGCGATATTTTTCTAGAATAGAGACCCTGGGCCCCTATTCTTGAAAAGAATCGCATACGTAAAACTAGGGAAATGCCATAGTATATGTGACGCATACTGTAGTATTTCCCTAGTTTTTCGTATGCGATATTTTTCTAGAATAGAGACCCTGGACCTATATTCTTGAAAAGGATCGCATACATAAAACTAGGGAAATACTATAGCATATGTTACGTGCACTATAGTATTTCTCTAGTTTATCGTATGCGTACTTTTCAAGATAGAGGCCCTGAGCACAAGAATTGTCGCAACGGTCGTAAGGGTATATCCACACAAACTTGCATAGCCGCATAAACGTATGCATAAAGAAAATTATCCAATCACAATTTAGGTGCGTCTTTATAGGAGAAATGCGATTGAATAATTTTCTTTATGCATACGTTTATGCGGCTATGCAAGTTTGTATGGATATACTCTAAAGACTCTTGCATAACGCATAGTGCATAAACGAATCAACTAATCAGAATCTTTCCTTTCCTTCCATTCCATGGAAAAGAAGAATTTCGATTGGTCGATTTCCTTATGTACTATGCATTATGCGTTATGCAAGAGTCTGTGCTGCGGCCATAACGCTTAAAACATCTATTCGGACTTATGCGTTATGCAAGAGTCTGTGCTCTCCGTTTAAAGCGCGTTGGAGTGAATGAGCTATAGTAGGAGCATATTGAAACATGTTATGGTTCCTGCACACTAGACACGGAAACGCTTGCCGCGCGGCAAAATGTGACGCGGTAGCCAATAAGCTTACAGCTCCTAACATGTTCATTGGTTATCGCGTCGCATCTTGCCGTGCGGTAAGCATTTCCACGTCCAGTGTGTAGGAGCCATTAGAGCTAGAGTCCTAGGCCGGTATTCATAGTCGGTTCTTATTTCAAGACCGTCTTAAGTAATGTCTTAATACGCTAATGCGGCTCTCTTATTGGTTCATAACATCTCAAGGCTGAACTTGAGACGATCTTGAATATAAGAACTGACTATGAATACCGGCCCTAGATTTATCAAATAGGCGCAACCGGTGTTACGCATTCTGATTCGCTGTTGCAATCACATGACTTAGCAACCATTTATAGTACTAGTGACATATTTCTATTTCATTTTATCCTATACATTCTATCTCACTCTATCTCATTCTTGCTCTTGAACAGTATCCATGCTGACTAAATTGTGATTACTGATATTATACAAAAAGCCTGATTACTGTGTTACACAGTATCTGACTATGGCTGCGTTCAGCAGAACGTTTGTTTTGCAACTGTTGGAAGTTTCCTTCGCGCTAATTGGATCATACTTTTAGATCTAGAAGAATGGTCCTATCTCAGCAGACAATCATAAAACGGTTGCAAAACTGTTGAGTCTGCTGAACGCAGCCATTGGGCGTATTTCGCGGAAGATTAGAGAAATGCGGAACTAATGCAACCAATTGCTGGTTAGAATTTCTGTTGTCAACCGTTTTATGATTGTCTGCTGAGATAGGACCATTCTTCTAGATCTAAAAGTATGATCCAATTAGCGCGAAGGAAACTTACAACAGTTGCAAAACAAACGTTCTGCTGAACGCAGCCAATCATAAAACGGTTGCAAAACTGTTGAGTCTGCTGAACGCAGCCTATGTTCTTGCTGGAAAGCAAGCTGTGTTAATCTAGTGACTTTAGTTAAAAACGAACGTTGAGCGTCATCATGAAAAAGCGCCTTAATTCCGCCATGCATGCATGGGAGCTGACAGAGCTGACGATTTGACGAAAAAAGATGGTAGTTACTGGGGATGATCATCGTGACAACGCGGAAGTAGATGTTACAGAAAATATGGATAACAGTCAGCCCAATGGTGAACTGGTTCCGAGAACCGAACAAAATAACGACGAGACAGAAGTGCGTTAATTTGTTGTATTATATTTATTGTTTACTCCTTTTTCACGATTGCTTCACAAGGAGGTGTCTTGAGAATGCACATAGGGGATTTACATCATCTTTTTAAATTAAACATGAGTTTTTTCGTCTGTTATTTTTAACGAAAGATTGTGCAATACCACATAATTAGGTATAGTCGTGAATATTAAAATTTATTTGTAAATTGCCGTGATTTGTTGTACCGACATATTCGAGTATTGTCGAGATTGAATTGTAATTTGACGTTTCTTGCAGGCGAACACGGAGAATAATGAGCAGAGGCAGAAGGCACAACAGTCGCGCTTAGAATCATTCTTTACCATAACAAAATCCTTAATCATACGAGCTCTCATAATTTATTTTATTAGTAGCCTCTTTAGACGCTCTGATAATAATCCCAAGTCTCCCAACGCCGTTGGCGACGCGCGTTTACAAGCTGTAAATATATTTTCAAATGGAACATTATTTGACCTTAGTGTTTATCTGTCCGAGTCCGAGAACTTTAAAAAATTTGACGATCCGCAATCTTTGATTTGGTTCGAAGAGGGTCTGGTTTATGGAGATTGGTATGGCGGACCAAATCAGGATGGATCCAAGGTACTTGAGCACACGTTTGTCCCTTCCGGACGATTAAAGCAAAATGGTTCGATTTACCTGCACATATATATAACAAAAAGCGGAAAGTCACCGAACCCCAAAGCTGGCAAAGGTGTTTACGCTGGCGACTATATATCCTACTCGAGAAAAATGTTAAATAAATATAAGAAAATTAAGTATCAGAAGAGGCACAACTTGTTGACTGGCCAGAGCACAGCCAGCAAAGAGGAGATGGAGGTATGTATATTTTAATTACTTTGCCAAATTTTTAACACCAAAAGCAACCTTTAATATGTATTAATCCAGTGTAGTGTGAGAGACTGAATTGACCATAAGTTACATATTGTTTGTGTTAAACTCTTGCAGAAAGCTGAGTTAATGGATCAGGAATATGTTTCGCACTGGCACCCAAATTTGACTGTTAATTTAGTATTTGATGAAACCAACTGGGTGTATGGTCAAGTACCACAGCCGCTGGATGAATGTAATTTTACAGATATACTTACATTATATATATGCAGATCTGTGTACTAGAAACACTCCTTGTTACTCTTCTCTTAGATATACATTTCTTACCTGGTGGAAATTTTTACAAGCCAATACTGTACATGAATGATTTTTGGAACATGCAACGGGACTATCAACCATTAAATAATACCGTAGAGCAATTGGAGCTTAGGTTGACTTACCAGCCACTCTCGTTATTCAAATGGCAAATATATGCAGCTCAATCCGTTAGAAATAAATGGACGTCGTCGTTCATGGGTTTGTTATATTTAAAAAATCGCGAAAATTAAAACGAAGTTTTTACTATTTCAAATAAGTAAGAAAACAGCTAATATATGGTCGAGAAAATATTACTTCAGCTAGAATAAGGTAATATTTTTCATAATAAGTTCTTTTTTTCAGTGTTTTAAAATGTTAGATAGCGTCATTATTAAATCAATGATCAATTTAATTGTGATATTATTTCAGCTTCAATTTATGATTGCGTTTCAAGTCCGATAGTAAGCGCGTTGCGTAATTTATGTAATTTAAAGATGTATAGAATTTACATATAAAAATATTATTAGGCACCCCAAAATCTAGCTTCGACCGTATTGGCTGTTTTCTTGGTTGACTTATATAGTCCAGATTAACTTCTTATTGATTTTACTTTCCCTGAAGAATTGTTAGTAAGTTTTATCATCTGTTATCATTATTCACATAGGAGAAGCATCTGATGACGATGATAACGATCAAGATACCCTAAAAGAGACTTTGCTTGAAACAAATCCATATCTACTAGGATTGACTATAATTGTATCAATCTTGCATAGCGTGTTTGAATTTTTAGCATTTAAAAACGGTAAGCTCTTAAAACTCTAACGAATAATAGGAACGTATTTCGCACTACCGCAATCTGAGGAACCTCCTTATGCCTTTTCAGATATTCAATTCTGGAACAACCGAAAATCTTTGGAAGGTTTATCGGTACGATCTGTGTTTTTCAATGTATTCCAGTCTCTCGTCGTTCTCCTTTACGTTTTGGATAACGAGACGAACACGGTCGTGCGCATCAGCTGCGCGATAGGTCTTTGCATTGAAGTGTGGAAGATCAACAAAGTTATAGATATTAATGTTAATAGAGAAATGAGAGTATTCGGTATCTTTCCGAAAATATCATTCCAAGATAAGGGATCGTACGTAGAGTCTTCTACGAAAGAGTATGACAGACTCGCCTTCAAGTATCTCTCGTGGGCGCTGTACCCTCTGTTGGGAGGATACGCGATTTATTCTTTAATGTATCTGGAACATAAGGGATGGTACTCTTGGGTTCTCAGTATGTTGTACGGATTTCTGTTGACTTTCGGATTCATCATGATGACGCCGCAACTGTTTATCAACTACAAATTGTAGCGTCGCGCATCTTCCATGGCGTATGCTGTCGTACAAATTCCTGAACACATTTATCGACGATATTTTTGCATTTGTGATAAAGATGCCGACGCTGTACAGGATCGGCTGCTTCCGCGACGATATTGTTTTCTTCATATTTTTGTACCAAAGATGGATATACAAGACCGATCATACCCGAGTGAACGAGTTTGGCTTCTCCGGCGAAATGGAGGCCCAAGTATTAGAGAACAAGAAGCAGGCAGCTATCAAGGATCGCCCGAAGGACGGATCGGCGAAGAAGAATGAATAATACTTGGTGTGTATAGATTTAGCATCAAGTACGTTATATCATATGTTGTCCCTGAATTAATAAAATATCCGATACCAAAGGAATATAATTACACACATTGACATTTATTTATACAAATTTCCGCATAATCATGTGTGTGTAAATGTATATTCTATTTTCGAATCCACGTGCTGGCGAGCATACTGCGACGTATGGCAAAGTAAGAGGCGAAGATAGAAGTAAATTCTTTTCTCCAAATTTAGAATACGCACAGAGATATTTGAAGGAATTAAAATTGTGGGTCTATTCGTTTTTGCTGAATTTCTTGCACAATTCATCTTTCCTTTTTTTCTCTCCAATGTGAGAAAGAAAAAAGATACAACCATTCTGCTAAAAAGAATAGACTTTATAAAACACGAATAGTACATACAAAAATAGTAGAGATAACTCTTCGTGAAATGTATCTCGCGATCCTTCAACAAACTATAAATGTAGATAGTATGTTCAACACTGTTATCATTCGTGTAAATGTTCAACTACAAAATAGACACTCGTGACTTGCCACGAGAGCATGGAAGAAACGTTCTACTGATTCGATGTTTAGCCAAACGTCGAATAAAAAAGGGAAAATCCAATTAGCATCAACGATTTCAGACGATGTTAGTATTCATTTATTATCGGGTCGAGATGTTGCTACGAAATAAAATTGATTTAATTATCATATATCATACGTGTACCTTTTCTTCTGAGTGATAAACCTTTTCATTTGTGTCGCGACATTTTACGAGATCACATAAAAGGAGAAGATGTGTATTAGTGGCTCTCTCCTTTTTTAGTATCCAAGCATTCAGAATTTTATATAACGAGGGAAGGAAAGATCGTGCTCACTAATGCCATAACGTTGATATTACAAATTACATTTAATATTGTATTTTATATTTTCATTAGAGTAGTCGTATAATTATCTACCGTCGACTTACTGTCTAATATTTTGGACAATATACATTTATTACATATTGCCATAATGTAAGTACTCATTTTCCGAATGAGATTAGCGTAATTTCTGAGCATCACCGCACGCCAGGTATGTGCGGTGCGAAGTTTTAACACGGCTCTTCGAGCTAAATTATTTATACATGCGATCGCGAAGATATTCTGCGATTGTGGAAAATTGAAGGTATTCGAGGAGAGAAACGGCGATTCATATATTAACGGGTCGTCGATGCTGTTTAGATTGTAAAAGTTATCGTTTATAATAAATATAGGTAATTCCTCCTATTTTTTGTTATTTTCATTACTTCTTAAGCAGTGCTCAGAAACTTACAAAATTTTACTCGCGTGAAATGATTGTGTGTTCGAAAAGAAAAAAGAAACTATTTATATCTTCAAATTTTGTTCAAGTCGATATTATTTCTTACACAGCTAATCTCTCTGCGCGGATAATAAATCTAACAGATGAGAAATAAAATATTTTACATGCATATATATGTATATATCGTATTAAATAGCGATAACGAAATGCGAGATCAGCTGGAAGCGATGACAGCTGGAATTGTATCAAAATTTTACAATTAGATTAAAATGGTCTATAAAGAGAAGCATGCTGAAACAATTAAATATATAGATTTGACAAATTTCAAATTTACGTTATAAACAGTACATCGGTTTTCTGCTACTTTTTTTCTTTTTGTTCTTACAAGAAGGCACTTTTCCTTCCACACTTATATGTAGTTGTTGTTAATGACCTTGCACGCGCGGCAACAACTTTAATATAATATAGTAGAATCTCTTTTTATTCCCTGGCTCTTTTAGCTTTTTTTAATGCTAAGCATTATATCTGAGATAATGAATGAGAAAGTATTATTTACAGATTGAAACTGTGATATCAAAGATACCATTGACACATCTTTTTCGTTTTAAATATCTACATAATATCGGTATTGTGAAAATTTCAAGTAAATATACCTTAAATACCGGATAAATATGCGATTAAAAATAAGAGCTAAAAAAAAAACGTAAAATTTAAATCTCATCGCTATTTGTGCTCGAAAAGTTCGGTTCACAACGACTCGTATATACTAAAACTAGAGATAATTCAACTGAAAGCGTGAGCGTAACTTCTAAAAAGTTAAAAAATATTTAATGCGTTGTTTAATACATTATTGACAATGGAAATAATAGCGTCAGAATACAATTTCACGTTTTCTTTTCGCAATATATAATCGTGAAAAACCATTAATCTTGTATAACTCTTTCGAAAGCAACTTTTGGATATTAAATCGGTAAATTTTCATTTCAATTTGCTGAACGACAATTTATCGCATCGCTAAATTCGAAAGAGTTAATCAAGAATTAAAATAATATCTTATTATATATTATTTAATATCCAAGCTTTACAAATGGCAAGACAGATTTCTACGAATTTCTAACTTTTTTCTAACTTTGCACAAGAAATAGACTGGAAGTAGTACATTACAAGCAGTATCGATAATGAAAATTTCATCAACGCAGGATTAAAGAAAAGGTTTTAGAAAAAAAAAAACTTTTAATAAGACGACAAATATAAATCACTGCGTGATAAAATTTAATCGACAGCTTTTTCTTACACATTAATTTAAATTATACAGGGTGTTTCCAAATTAAATCGCAAAACTTCGGGAGCGTGTAGAGGAGTAAAAAACTAAGAAAAAAAGTCCTATAGACATATGCTC